TATATTTTAATTTATTGTGATTTCACTTTAATTTAGTTGATATTTAAATTTATAGTAAATATATTTAGCTCCTGTTTGAGCCATATTTTTCATATCATCATAATGAGAAAATTTACTATTGGAGAGGAGGATGGGTCCTACACATGAAATAGCAGATAACAAAGGCGGCTGGACTTGTGGAATAACAGTCCAAATTTTCATTTTTTTGTCCCAAAAATTTGGTTCAAATAGGGGTTTAGTTTGTTTTAGATTTATTACTAGTGAGATATAAATATATATTAAATTGAATGAATTAATAACATAAAAGTAGACGGGCAAAAAAATATATGGTGAAACCGACGGTTTAAAATCAGACCAAACCGTTAGGTTTAGGTTTGAATTTTTTTCAAACCGTTCAAAATGGTTTGGTTTAGGTTTGAATTTTTCTCAAACTGTTTTAAACGGTTTGATTTGAAATTTTGCCAGAAATCGGTAAAATCGAACCGCTTACACCCCTAATATTGAGTGCAAAGTCGTTTCCTTTTGTAATCGGGAAACAAATGGTCTTTAGACCAACAACTATGACAAAACCCACAATTCCTTTCGAGCATTCTACGACGAAAAAAAAAAAAAACAAAAACCACTAACACATTTGCAGTCAATGATTGACCAATACAACAAATTTCAATTACTACCAATAACAAACCCAGACAAGGCAACCACAAGTAATCTTCGAATTTCAAATTCACAAAGTCGCAATTACAGACAGTATGGAAAATGCTTGGCTTATTGTTAGTAAAGGTCCGAGTGCAAAATATACTTGATGATAGGCGACCGGATATTGTGATTAAAATTGGTGTCCGGTGTCCGGTTGTTTGACGGCGATCGGATACTGTGGGTTGTGCGAGTTTAGCGACAGCAAGTGACGGCGATTGGAGATGGAGCTGGAAAGCTTGGGATGATTTTCGATTTTTTGGATTTTCAATTGAGGGATACGAGGAGGTTTTTGGTGTAATGGATGTTGCCTCCTTCTTTTCACAGCGATCGAAGATCGTTGGTCGTGCGACAACGACACCGTAGGCGAGAGTGCCGCGTAGCGACGCCAGAGACATAGGGTTCGATTTGGGGATTTTGCTTCTTTCTAGAGAGAAACGTCATGAACCAGTTGTGTGTGATGTTAAAAGGCAATTTTTTAGTTTTTACGAAGTGCCAAGTTAGCCTGTTTTTTAGCCTGGCTTTTTCCTGGCTCAGTAGCCCTTCTTTTCACAGCGATCGAAGATCGTTGGTCGTGCGACAACGACACCGTAGGCGAGAGTGCCGCGTAGCGACGCCAGAGACATAGGGTTCGATTTGGGGATTTTGCTTCTTTCTAGAGAGAAACGTCATGAACCAGTTGTGTGTGATGTTAAAAGGCAATTTTTTAGTTTTTACGAAGTGCCAAGTTAGCCTGTTTTTTAGCCTGGCTTTTTCCTGGCTCAGTAGCGCGATCGAACAAAATTTATGGTTCACATTCATCGATTTTAATATGCGACAATGTGCATCAGTTATTCTCTATTTCGTAAATTCTCAACGGATCAAAAGATAAAATGTTCTATTTTTTAATACAATTTGTTTAAAAAGAACTTGTTTGTCCGTTAGTTTCAACCCGTTAAAATTTAGAAATCATGAGAAATAACGAGTCAAAAGTAGGATTAATAATTTCAATGAAGTGTGATGAACCCTTTCCCCTCATCCATGCGATAGTAATTAGTATGAAAAGAAAAGGGAGGAATCAAAGTGACCGTTAAGAGAGTTATCTTTAATCATAAAACTGTCACTGTCTTATTGGCAATAAAAATTAGATTTTTCCAATCCAAAAAGTTGGTTTATTGGCTGTTAGCACCCAAAAAGGAATTGTAGTAATATTTTGAATTCATAGTTCAAATTCATCTTTGAACTTGCGGTGCTGACAGCTCTCCTCCAGTCCCCCAGTGTCTCCTAACACACTTTCTGTTCTTTTGCTTCTATAATTTGATTAATCTCTCTGTAAATAATCTGTATTTCAATTTGAAAGTAAAAGCTAAAGATTTAAAGAATGGCTGGTTATGTTGGGGTGTTCGTGTCGGATCCATGGCTTCAGAACCAGTTCACTCAAGTAGAGCTACGGAGCTTGAAATCCCACGTAAGTTTTTAATCAAATTTCTATGGTTTTTTTAAATATATAATTTTTGGTTTACATTTCAAATTAATGGGATTTCGGTTGCAGTTCATGACGATGAGGAGGGAGACTAGCGGCGGCCTGAAGCTGGCGGACTTGCAGGCGAAAATGTCGATGATAAAGCATATCCGAGAGAATCTTTCTGAGCAGGAAAGATCTTCATTTCTTCAGGATTCATATCAAAATTTGGGAGACGAAGTTGATTTCGAACTCTTTCTTCGGGTGAATCCACAAACAAAGATACTGATTATATGCATTTATTTATTGCATGTATGTGTTTTTAGAGCTTGGTTTTTTTTTTTTTTTTTGACGAGGTTGATGGAAAGTGTCTTGAGAATGTTCATGGAAATGAGCACTCACAAATCTATTTTTGTTTGTTTTATTGAATTTCAAGAGAATGAATCTTTTAGCTCAAAACCAGGTTTTAAATTGTAAAATGTTTACAAGTTAAACGAGGCTCAAAGTTAATGCAGTTTCTTGATCCAATGACTTTAAGGGTTCTTTTTAATCAATTTCCCTCCTAATCTGTGACTTTATACAATAACAGACTAATTCTCGCTACATTTAGGGTCGACTACATAAATCTTTTTTCTTCATCACTAGAACGTTGACTTCATGATTTATAAAAATCATTGTGAAGGATTGTGATTCTCTTTTTATGTCCCCATAATGTTGGATAAGAAAGAGCATTCAATGTCTAAATCTAAAATCTTTTATTTCGCTCCCCCCAAAAAGTGAAGTTTATTATTTACCAAGGTGAGTGGCTGTTAACTTGGTTTTTTCTTTTATCTATTTGTGATCTTTTGGGCTCCCACAAACTTGGTTTGTGATGAACCATAGGTTCATGAATGTTTGGTGAATTTTTGTCAAATATTTAGCTTTCGAAGAATCAAATATAAAAATATTTCTTGTTATTTTTACCAAATTTCTGGCAAATAAAACTTCATTTTAGTGGTTTCAGTGTTACTTCTGTCTTTTGTGACTACTGGGCTGATGTAATTTGGCAGTTAAATCTTTGCTTTCTATATCTCTTTTTATTCTGTTTATATAGCGGGGAAGTGTTTTCATTCTGTTGCAGGTTTATTTGAAACTCCTAGCGCTTGCAACAGAAAGGAGAGGAAGTGGTGCAAAAAATGCATCTGCTTTCCTCAAGTCTCCAACTTCTACACTGCTTCATACAATAAGTGAATCCGAGAAGGCATCATATGTTGGACATATAAATAACTATCTTGCGGAAGACAAATTCTTAAAGAAGTACCTTCCCCTAGAACCTTCAACAAATGATCTCTTCGAAATTGCCAAGGATGGAGTTCTTATCTGGTGATTATCTGTGGTTGCAAGGTGTACATTACTCACATGTTTGGTGGAGAGGATTGGATAGTATTGGACACTATTGAGGAAGAAGAAGCTAGAATTGTATTTCTTATATTGTTGAGTCCCATCCAATACCATGTACCAAACATGCACTATGTTTGCTAAGCATTACATTATATATCTAATATGAAATATGCTTCTTAATTCAGTAAGCTTATTAATGTTGCCGTACCTGGAACAATTGACGAACGAGCTATCAATACAAAGAGGGAGCTCAATCCATGGGAGAGGAATGAGAATCATACCTTATGCCTGAACTCTGCCAAGGCAGTTGGGTGTACTGTTGTCAATATAGGGACACAAGACTTTATTGAAGGAAGGGTGGGTGCCTGCTTTCATAAGAAACTGCTAGATTATGGTTGATTCTTGCTTTTTGTTTGGTTTTCTTGTGGATTTTGAGTGAAATCATTTACTGAAGATTTACTCCAACAGAAAGTAGCATTGCTTTCCTTCGATCATTTCTCTATCTCATATCTACGTTGCTTTCCTGTGGCATTGCAATTATCATTTTTTT